ACACACACACACACACACACACACACACACACACACACACACACACACACACACACACACACATATATATATATATATATATATACGTCTAAGTGAGAACCCTAATCGTGTCTCTTGCATGCCATGAGCTTGTTGCACACCGCCTTTGCCCTAATTGTGTCTCCGCACTTAACATACATCATGTGACCTCGCCACATAGTGCTACTGCATACCGTGTACCAAGTATGCCTCTTCTCCTCCTTACTCTTCCTTTTTCTTCTTCCCGCTTCCTCTTTTTCCTCTACCGCCTCCTTTTCTTCCTTTCTTTTACCTCCTCCCTCCTCTTCCTCCAATGCGCCTTCCGCTTCTCCTTTTTTTTCATCATCTTTGAAACACTGATATACACTGGTGTACTGACACATGGTACACCAGTACCGATTGGTATGTACTGCTATGGCCAGGGACCGAGACAGGTCTGGTACCTGGTACAGCAATCCTTGAGAAATACAATGAATAATATGCGAAAAAGAAGTATTGGGAGTTTCTTGGTGACTATTCAAGGCCTATCTGGTAAACATGTTCATAGATATACAAAGATAACAACCATTCGGGTGCTTGTAACAAAGCCTCACTAAGGAACCTGACAAGTTGGGCATCTTTCTTGGATACTTTCTTTTCCACCTTTTTGGAAGGACATGCATGTGGTGGAAAAGAAAGGGCAGGAAAGCTCGAGCTCACTCATTATTCAGCAGCAAAGATGCTATGAAATATGTTGCTACAGAAAAATGGAAGGATGGTTGTTGGTATCAGACAGAAGGGTTGGCCATAGATCTCAAGGCTGTAGTTGGTAATCTGACGACTGATTGGTGAGCCAAAAGCTGAGGCATCTGCTTTATGCTGGAGTTTGTTTTCAGTTTGGAACCAAATACAATGGAAATGATTGCACATCTTTTCCTACAAAGGTGTTTTCTAATGGTTCAACGAGAGAACTACACTCAGTTTTGAAGTTGGTTTCGTGAAAAAGGTCCAAGATGTCTGGAAAATGTAGATCATGCTCCATGCAGTAAATTTAATTGGATAACATTCCAATCTGGGTTGAGTAATTCGCCAAGGTAAGAGTAATAGAGATTTCCATGATAGTAAGTGCAGAAAATAAAAAACTAGGTAGGCCTTTTCAACATCAACAGAGCCCTAATATAACTTTCTGTTGGTGTCTGGCACAGTTCTTGGCTCTTGGTTTCAGTTTTATCGCTCCTCATATTTCAACCTACATGAAAGCTGGCATTCTGCTGTGTTTCTACGCCCCTTTTTCTACCTGGTTTTGTTTGATTCAATCATTCAGGAAGTTTTATATTTTCCTCAGATTTCAGCAGTAATATTCCTGAATGTGTAGAAATGATACTGTACCTGTGCACAAATGTACAGGTTCAGTTATACACACTATGACAAGAAGCATGGACCCATCTACAAGTCCATAGAGGCCTTGGACCACATGGGCATGGATATCATAGAGACCGGAGATGCCGATGCATTCAAGCGCTACTTGCGTGAGTATGACAACACGATCTGTGGACGCCATCCCATCAGTGTCTTCCTCCATGTAAGACTGGCCATCTCTTTTGTTTATCATCTTGTGGAACCATTTCACTAATGGTATGCTTATAATCTTTGCTCTCATTAACTCCTCTTCCACCAGATGTTAAAGAACTGCTCGACAAAGATCAAAATTGGTTTCTTGCAATACGAGCAATCAAGTCAGTGCAAGAGTATGCGAGACAGCAGCGTCAGCTATGCGTCTGCTGCAGCAACGGCAGAAAGTTGATGTAATTGGAGAATCGCTCACCATTATTATCTTTTCCCCATTTAAACTATGGCACATTTCCATGAAACAGCATAAAACATCACTGCTTCGCCTTGAAGCACATGAACTCAATAGTATGTTTCTGTTTATACCGTCATGTAAGTGACTGACAGCACATTGGATCCTCACTAAATAGGCCGAATCGTCCTTGTTTTCTGTCGACATGAATGATGAGGAATTTTAAGATGCATGAATTCTGTGGTTGCAATAAAGCCAATTAAATTGTCCATGTTGTTATGGAGCTAAATGATTAGGTATTGCGTTTGGACTAGTTTGCCACTCGCATGTAACGGGGTCAAATAATCTAATGGTTCAAGTATTTAGATGGAATGTTATCGACAGAAAAAAAAAAAAAAAAAAGTAAGATTCTGTAGTTTCGTGTTTTGCTAAATCTTCAAGAAGGGATTGTTTTAAAAATCCAAGTCATATTTAATATTAACCATGAAAATATTAACTATCTTGCCCTTTAACACCATTCTGAAAGGAAAATGCATTCACTTTTTGAATGTGCATAACACTATTGAAAATAAGTGTAACTTCAATCTCTATATTAAAAGTATCTTATTGATGTATCAAATTACTTGTATATTATTTATCCTTATATATTAAATAATATGTTTCGATATATAAATGAAAGAAAATGGATTTTATTTTAGATTAAGACACGCACAGTGAAATTTTGAATATCTTTTTCTTAGCATAATATTTTAGTTAACAGCTAATTATGACCATAGAAGTCATAACAATTAATTAGTAATGATTATCATCGTGATCATCATCAGCCACTAATTAATATGGAGCTCTTTTATCAAATAAAAGAAATTTTAGTGAATTTGGTTCTCTTTAATAACTACTAATCACTGTTGCTAATATTCTTTTCGAAAAAAAGAATAACCACAAAATTCACTAATTACATCAATATAATAATAATAATAATAATAATAATAATAATAATAATAATAATAATAATTTTTCGTCGTAGTTTTTAGCCTCTAGTGAAACCCGTCTCCTTCTTCGACCCCTTATTGACGCCCATTAGATCTATCTTCGACCCCTGGATAGACTCTTCTCTTCCTTCCTCCTCCAAAGTCGGGTTGCTGCTTCGCTCGCTTTTCCCCATTTTAGGATCGTTGTTGACTGTGTTTGCAACGGAGATGGAGGCGTTGCGCGGAAGTGAGATCGGTGGAGCTGCCGTCGCATTCTCCTCGATCGAGTTGCTTGCGGCGCAGAGGTCCCTCGCCTGGCTTCTTTTCGCGGTGAGTGTAGCTTCGTCCCTCTTTCATATCTTGCAGTCTGGTCTGGATTCCGTGCTAGTGGCTTAAAAATGCGATTTGTTTTTCCTTATTTGAGAAGGGGATTCTTGTTCCTTTCTTGTCTCGAGCTAAAAGTTGGAGGATTTAAGCCTTTCATGGTAGTTCAGGAATGAGCGTTAGTTGATTGAGTACTTCGATTCACATGTCTATAACAGGATCTGATCTGAACTACCGTGACGTTTTAGTGTTCGATTAAACAGGTTGGATGTGAGTGGGGTTCAAGAATGTGAATTTGGGATCCTGCAATTAGGGTTTTCCTTCCTCTTTTTGATTACTCTATCATTAGCAGCATTGTCTTAATCTCCTTTTGATACTCCACCAGGATACTTTAGATTGAGTACAAGTGGGTTATCTGAAAAGCATTTCTCACTTTGTCATATAGATTTGTGCATTTAGCTCGTCATATACAGACAACTACTAAAAATTTGATGAGGCTAAGGTTATGATTCACTATGCTTACAATTGGGTTGTTCATTTGACATGTACATTTCTTTCCGGCAATCTGCCTTAAATCTGTGATCGGGTGGGACTTCTTTTTTTCTTATGGATAGATTGTGTCTTTGTTTAATTAGGAGTTCATTTGGTTATTACATGTTGCACTGTGAAGATTTGGAATGATGCTCTTGCTATTGAAATTTAGACCATGTCAGTTGATCAAGAGGTTTGAACTAAATGTGATAACATCTTTGGAATACAACATAACCTTCATTCAAGGTACAGAATTATTATTTTGTGTGCAGTAGTTGTTGCTTCTCCTTTACTTGCTCGCTTATGTTGAACCTTTTTTTTTCTTTTCTTTTCTTTTTGCGTTCCTTCAGGTGTGCTCACTGTCAAGCAGTGTTGGCGTATCAGGCGAAGGGTTTGACATGGCAAATATGTAGGATTTGTGTTTTTTTACTTATATTTCACTTGCTATAAGAAGCTCAGTGCATGATGACCCTGCATTCTTATTTCTCTGGGGGCATAAATCATCTTGGCTAATGTAGTTGATTAACTTTTTTTCTCATGTTTGATGTTGTTTTAAAGGATAATGGAAAGAAACAAACCTGAAACTATGCCTGAGAACAAGGATGATGGTGAGTCGGATGATGATGAGCATGAATATAGGGATGAACGAGAAGATGATGGTGAAGATTTCTTGGGTGAGGAAGGGAATAATAGAGATGATGATGATGATAATGACGATGATGATGATGACGATGACGAGACCAGTGGTGACGAAGAAGAAGGAAGCGAAGAGGATGATGACGACGATGATGAGGAGGATAGTGAGGATGATAGTGAAGATGATAGTGAAGATGATGAGGAAGATGATGAGTAACGACTTCCCTAGCCAAAGGGAAGCCGCCTTCTAAGTAAAAGAAATGAGATTTCCATTTGTTTGGAGAAATGACTTATTGTCAATGAAACTAAGTTGTTTTTCTTTTGTATTTTAATTGGAGAGTATCATGCTGATGGCTATTCACTCATGTATCAAACTGGTCATTTCATTTTTAGAATTTTTTACACCACCATTTATTTATCTTTCTATGGCTGCAATTCAATTGTTAATATCTTTTTATTGTTGAAATATATTGGTAGTTAGCAAATGGTGTCCAATTAAATATGTTTCAAATTTATTTCGGATAGAGCGTCTTGTATGCAGTTTAATGATAACATATAAAAAATAAATAAATTTATTATTAATAATAATATTTGAGAATTTAGCCAAAATACCATTCATTAGATATTACATTTTTTTTTTTGGGGTTTCTGTTTAATTTTCTCAACTGATTATTTGGTTTGTGCATCGAATACAGAGGAGTACTATGATACCATCAAGCATCAATTTATCATAATGGAATTGACTTGATAGATCTTTTTCTATTCAACTTTACACAAGGAAAGATCTATGCTCATGATTTTGGCCATAATGTTACATTTAACAATTTGTAATCTAACACAATTAATCATCTTTTTTCTCAATACAAACCATGGTTGAAATAGTCATAGTCCTGTGCATTAAACGCATAAAAGATTTGATCTTGTGCCGTGGTTAATAATACATTACTATGGTTATTCCTCTGGGTCTTCTCAACTCTGATCCTGATGCCTGCAGATGTGCAACGACTGTTAAGCAGGTCTTATGTTAATGTAAAACGCCAGTTGCATTTAACATTTGATGTTACAGAACAAAGCCCCATGTAGTTGGTAATATATTGTTTCACATCCTTAGGTCATCCAGGTTTCTGGTATGATAAGGATGGTCGTCACACAATACCTCCCCAGTACATACAGATATCATGTGGTAAAAGGGGCACCAACCTCATATGAGAACTTTGGCAAATCTTATCGTTGTACCAAAGGAATAAAAGAGAATCAGGGAAGTTGATGAGCCACTGTTAAAAGAATACCCATATCAAACTGCAACTAATCTGCATCCGATCATTAGATATCAAGGGGCGAAACGCTACCAACATGTACACAATCACACACTCCGAGAAGCAACAAACAATATAGTAAATCCAGTATTCAGTTAATCTTGCTTGCATCTAAAATGGAGAAGCTGATCCATCAAACATATTCCACCATCTTGCATTGTCGGACAGGAGGAAACTAGATCGACCAGAAGGTGAATTCTCTTAAAATGGAGCACTTTCACCATGTGCTGCTACCTGCGTCTTCCAACTATGTTGAAGTAGTGGCAACTCGTGAAATGATCCTCAGGCCTACACTCTGCAAAGCTACATCATGTTAATTGCAACTAAAATAAACCATAATGTTACTTTCGGCTTGCCTGACTTCACATTGTAGAACAAAGTCCAGCACAAAATGCACATTTGTAACCCTTAAGTTGTGTTTATGCAGTTTCGACACACATTCGGTTCACTAGCCTCTGAAATCTATGAAAAAGGAAGAACACTCTGAAACCATTTTCTGAGAACATACACGGTAATGATATCACGATTACTTGTTAACTCATCCTTAATAATATGAATTTATCAGACTTTATATGAAATCTGATCAAAGAGGGGGGGCTGGCCCAGCTTCGGACAAGTCCAATGAGTTTGGATTTGGAAATACATGGCAAAAGAAAGTCCAATGTCATGATATAATCATGCAGCTCTTTATCCAGTCTTCTGACCAATGGACACCTTAACCATTTTTATCCCTACCAAAGGAGAGGAGAACATACTGCAAAAAGCCCCCTTAAAAGAGAAAACTATTTCTTTTGGAAATGCCCAACAAAAGAAAGTCCAATGTCATGAATGAAAGCTGTCGCTTCTTTCTCCGTTTAGTCCACTCATTATGGACTCACCTTACTCCGTTGTATCCCTGCTGAAAAGAAAAGAGAACAAATTGCAACAAAAATGCAAATAAATTATGTGATACCCCAACTTACTCCTACATTGAAAGCGAGCAGATAATTATGAGGGTATCTAGAACTAGAGGGGTCTGCTTTCACTAAATTTTGCTAAATCATTTTGAACCATGTAGTTTCAAGCCTATCAATTTAAAAGGTCAATTCACCCATTGAATTGAAACATTGTATCAAAGCAAACTTGGTATTAGGCATAGTGAGAGGCCCAAATAGGAAAAGACAAGGCATGAACAAGACTGAAGATGCATCATAATATGGAATCACCATTTGTGTAGTCTCATACTCTAATAATGTGATTTTGGACTATGTCCTTAAGTGGAGAAGATTGGGATACCTCAATTTGATGCCACACTGAAACGTGGGAGAATGATTATGAAAGTAAATAGAGATTGATAACTACCACTAGTTTGAGCTTAAACATTTTACATCATATGGTTTCATATTTATCAAGTTAATGAGTCAGTTTGACCATTGGGTCGGATCATGATGAATTTATTAATCTGATGTATAAAAACATCATAACTTGGCACTAGGGCTAATGAAGGACAGCAGTCCCAACCATGCAAGGGAGACATTGAGAAGGCAGATCAACCTAATTCAGAGAAATTGCAAATCTTTGGTTTTTCTGTGTGTTGCTGTATGCAGATCCAATAGGATACAACCAAAGAGGTTTACCAAGATTAATTACAAAAGGAAAAAAAGAATTGTTTCTTTCATGATCTCATATAGTTGTCTCTTTCTAATCTCACATCCTATTCCCAATTCCAATACAGGATTCCAGATGAAAAAAAATCAATTTCACAAACAAAGGTGAGGCTTGTAATGCAATTGAAAGAAGCCCTATTACTGTGAATCTGTCAGAGAACTGAAGATGTCAAAAAAGGACTTGGAAGTGAACATAAAATAATCAATTCTGCTTGATCCATTGCGACAAAGATGTACAGCAACCCTAATTAAGAATGCATCTAACATATTCGTAAGAAAGAGACAGCAGAAAAAAAGCCTAAACAGTCCCAATTATCAGAAACTCTTAAATGATTAATTATAGCAACGTCTTTTACAATATATACTAGAAACACCATATATGCACAGTCGTGCTTATCTGTGCAACCTTTATTAACATTTTACAAGCTAGCTTCACACCAAATATGCAAACTTGCTTATCTTGTTAATCAAATAGGCTAATTCGAAGAATTTGCGTCAACTGATCCACATCTGATTATGAAAAATGCAAAGGTGATCGCAGAACTAAATATTGAATTAATCAAATATGCCTTGAACTTCTGCCTCCAAATAACCACTGTTAGATATGATCCACTTATTGTTGAAAGAGTATATCAACACCACATGTCTGAACCCACTAGCTTAAATGCATTTATCCATAAACAATCCAAAAGCACACTAATCCACCAAAACCCCATCAAATCTATATCTACCTACTCAATTGATTTCATCACTCAATTTTCATGACTTCATCCAAATGCTTCAATAAAGGTCATAAAGAAGCAAAGAGAAGATAGTAAACTCACTCAGGGTAGAAGCTTCCCTGCTCGGAAAACTGCAAACTTGGATGCTTCAGAGTACGAGTACGGTACTCCATTCTCCTTCAAGAACCTCTCCAGCAACTCCTTGGTCCTCTCTGGGTCGATCGTCTCACATTCTAGCTCGTAACTAGTCCCGAAATCATACTGCGTCTCATCAAGCTCGAGCATCAACCCCTCCTTCCACCCGTAGACCGCCCTAACATTCCGGAAGCCCCCCAGGCACACGAAGGATCCCATCTTTCCCTCCGACCCGAACTCCTCGACCACCCTCCTCATGATCCGAGAGGATCCGGCCAAGTCGGCGAGCCGCCACGTCTCGGCGGCGCAGGCGCGGCCGAGGGCCGGGTCGATGTCCTCCTCGTCCTCCTCGACGCGGCTGACGCCGCCGGCCAGGCGGGCCTTGGCCTTGAGGGAGATCACGCAGCGGGAGTCCGCGTCGTAGAAGCGGATACGGAGGACGGCGAAGCGGGAGGAGAGCTCGCCGGCGGCGCCGTCGAAGAAGAGGTTCTCCTGGAGGTGGGTGCGGAGGTGGTGGGGAACGAGGGCGTCGGAGAGTCGCTGGTGGGCGCCCGCGTCGGGGAGGCGGAGTTTGACCTCAACCTCCATCGGGGCTAAGGCTGGTTGAGGCCGATGCGCTGGGCCTTGGCGGCGGCGTCGAGGGGGGAGGGGTCGAGGTACTTGTGGAGGGGATTAGGGTTAGGGTTAGGGTTAGGGTTGGGACGGGGATTGGAGGATCGCTGGCGGACGGCTTCTTCGATCTCTGCTTTGTCCTCCGCTTTCACTTCGATCCTGCTCGGCTTCCTCCTCAGCATCCTCCTCCCTCTCGATCAGTCGTTTTAGTTCCTTTCTGGTTCGCTGCCGACCACAATCCAAAGATATAATGAGTTTATATACACATGATGAACAATCTGCCATAGTCACATAATATATATATGCAGATGATCTGTTACATATGATGGTGAGGACATATATGTTACATATATATAACATATCATATATACGCATATGATATGTTACATACATGTTATAAATATATGTCGCAGATAATAATACTTATGCACAGCTCTGTTTGATGGTGAGGAAACACGTCCCTTCATCGCATCAGGCTGGTGTGAGAGCGGCAGCATCACCCTGGTGACCTGTCCGAGTGGTGATTCGGTCTAACCCAACCCATACATCAGCGCGGAAACGTTACCGGGTAGTGGTTCGGTCCAGCCCAACCCGTAATTAGTCGTCCACGAACCCGATAGTGACTTGAGTCCGGTCTCTAACCGTCCGCCGACCCTTTCGCTCTGCTTCGAGTTGATCGCCCGCCTACATAAGCAGACTGCCACCAGGTCATAGTGTCTTTTCTCTGTCGCTCTATCTAAAACATGCCCTATCCAGATAAAGAAAGGGTGGGAACCCTCCCCGTCCATCAAACTCCATCGCATTCTTGCTCTCCCTCCGCTCGAAGGTAAGGCCCTGCTTGAATCCGTTCCCATCCGGTCGATCCCCTGCTGTATCCTGGATTCTTGATCGATTGAATCGCTTTGATCCCGTTGCGATTCCTCCGGATGCAGGTTTTGCCGATCTACTACCGGGCTTCACCTCCGATGCCACCATGTTCCTTCCGAGGCCGTTGCCACGGCCTCCGACCTCGTCGTGGTTGCCAACCCCGCCATCGTCCAGGTGGCGATCCAGGCCACCGTCGACTTGATCTTGCTCAGCCCAATCCAGGTTCGTTTCTCCTCCTCCCCTCCCCCCTCGTCATTTCGTTTGGACTCGATATCAGTCGTCAGATCTCGGTTGCACGGTTGTTCAACGTAGATCTAGGTTTATTCCTGCGATTAGCCTTATGCTTGCCTAATTCTTGCAATATGGTTTGGAAACCTGGCGGGATGAACATGGGCTGTAGCTTAAACTGAATAGGTTGGGCCGGATTTCATATGGTTTTAAGTCGATCCTCCGCCCATCGCTATGGCTCTTTGAACCACTCGCTGCAAGCCGCGTATAAAGCAAAAACTAGATTAAGTATTCTTTGATCAACTTTATGATGCACAGAAAGAAAAATATTCAAATTGGGTTCAGATTAAAACAAAAAATTAGTCGGACTTGGATTTTTCTAAATACCAATCATTATTATTACTGAATAACAATGATAGTGAATTTATTTTTTTTCAGATGTTATATTAATCCAATCCATTCAAATTGAATTTAAAATGATTTGGATAGAAAAGTATGTACTTAGATTAAGTTGAGAACTTTTTAGTTTGATTTGAGATGGTATCGAATCACATTTGAATTCGGTACATAGTCCATTTCGACTCAGTAATGTATGAGGTGCAAGTGACGTGTTTAGGGATAAAACCTCGATTCGCTTTATAACTTCCCGTCGCACATAAATGGACGGCCAGCTTCAGCTCGTCACGAAGGGCCTTCAAGAAGGGAAGGAGATCCCACTCGAAATTAAGAACACTATTCCTCGAAGGCACACCTTTCTCCGAGGAAGAAGCCGAAAGCTTGCCGGACATTACCCCTATTCCTCGTCAGGTCGGTGGGACCCACGCGGTGAGAAACGGGTGCGGACGCGGCGATGGATCCTCTGGTCGATAAGCATTGATTCCCCACGAGATTGACCTTACCCGCCTGCCTGGGTGGGAATTTAGTCTCTGGCCCACTGGTGGGCCCAGACGATGAGCTGCATATGGGAATGCCACAAACGCCGATTAGGTAAGCGTATGCATTTTATATCTTTAAAAAAATTAAAAATTAAAATTTTCCTTATCTAAGGAGAGGGCTAATTATAATATTATTATAATAAATAATTACTTTTAATATTTGAATCTCTATATTTTAAAAGTTATATTAGCATCTCTATAATTATGAAAATAAAATATTTAGATGTATTTCTCATAACATCGTTAATTTTATCAATTTAAAATATTTAAAATAAAAAAAAAATAAAAAATAATTTTAATGTTTCAATTAATGATGACAGACGACGATATCGCTAGGGTCGCGGGTGGTTATTATGGATGAAGAGAGCAATGGTAAGCGAGGAGGGGCTGTTTTGCATTTGCATCAATGTTGTCGTCGACGCAATTGCCAAGACTGTCAATGCAGATGTCGAGCGATGAAATTGTCGCTTAGCAATAACATCAACACCGACACTGATATAGAGCGACGTTAGTCAACATCTCTATCGGTGGTTTTTCGTCTCGTCACATGGTAACTGCATTGATGTTGACATAAATATAAAACGACTCTTATTTCTTTATTATTTCCTAGGCATAATGCTCTTCCTTCATCATGTCTTCCCAAATCTGAAAATTGCTTGTCCATTCTTATTGGACCAGGAAGACCTTTATTTGCAAGTTCTCAAGATATTTTCTTAAATGATCTTATTTAGATACCAAGTGACATGGATAATCCTGACACCTTCCAGCTCCTCCTACCACATAAGCGACACATAAGGCAAAAGGTCTGAAAACACCTACTTCTTATGGTCGTCAATAAGAGGTCACGTCACTTCACCTGGCTTCCCAAAATGAGTATCCAAGACCTATTCCTTATCGATCTCGTAGTCGAAAAGATAAACCTTCTGCATTAATGGTCGATGACATGGCTCGGCTTCACTAATCTTTCATTCTGAATGAACGATGATGGGACCGTACCCTGCCTGACCGAAAGAAGCAAGAAAGTCATACCAAAGGCACCATCTCGCTAGTGATAAGACGTCGTCCCTAGGAGTGCATGCAAGCAAGCCGTCTGCATTAAATGTCTCCGCCACGTTGGGTGAAATGAGTCTTAACGAAGAATCATTAGTTTCACCTAATGCCCAAGTATAAAAGTCAAGCCCTAGGTCAAATCGGGGCGAACAGAAAAAAAGAAACTCCTTACTCTCTTGATTATTCTAGTGTCTTCCTCTCTCTTCATCGGAGAAGTCGAGTCGGGATGCTCCCGACAGATCAATTGTGTAGGAACCTTGATGCCATCCGAAGATGCGGCTAGGAAGCAGTTCGATAGCTAGGAGAATCCGGTTCTTCCACCCGGCTTCACCGCCCCATGGTCAGACTACTCCCAACAAATCTCTTCCCTAGTGGGCTCTTTGCAGTGGACGACCATATTGCCGTATGCGTACAGCATAGTATACCATATGTTGTCCACGATGTCAGATCCATCTGACGTCCGTATGCGTACAGCATAGTATACCACATGTTGTCCAAGATGTCAGATCCATCTGACGTGTATTTGGACGCTTCCATTTCAGCCAATGCAGGGGAGCTCATCGCGTTCACAAACCATCAAATAATAGATCGTTTTTGATAATTTCCATGATGACTAGGTATATTAGTGTACCCCTTCTAGTCTTGTAAACCTAACCAACATCGTAGCAACGAAACTGGACGCCCAGTAATAAAAAAACCATTAATTGCTGTCGATAGAAGAACCATAATGTGTCTGTGCAACAAACGATCCTCACAAGTTCGTAATTATTTTACCCACTGGGATGAGAGGATCATTAAGTCTCTCTTTTTATTTGTTTTTGTTCTAATTAAGTATGGATTCGTGAACGAAACTCTTACTATTACCTTATACCGGTGATGATTATTATTATTTTTTTTGCCTGAATATTTTAAATGGACCTCATATTGCGACCATCCAATGATGTCGATGAGGTGGATAAGACAATGGAGGCGGGGAAACATGCATTTGCCCTGCCGTAAATATCAGCGTATCTAGGAAGGCGACATATTTACCGGGTTTGACGTGGCCGTATATTTTGCGGTGAAGAGCAGTTCATAAATGCTCGCACCGGCTCATGCAGACGGTAGTCTGTCTCGGGATGCGTGACTGTGAGCTGATCGATGGTGTGGATCTCGGAAAGGATGCACCGGCGGGGTATGCCACCGCATTACTGGGTCGTCTGATATAATCTTTTTGACCCTTGTGAACCTTCCACTAATCCGTTACCTTCCCACATCAAGTATGGCTGCTCCCTGATCTCTGCATTCCCCTGTCCGGGCAATGATGCGGCCTCCCCCTTTTCGACCCCCATCGGCCTCAAGTTATAGTTCGACCTAAACCAAAGCGAAGCAACCGGCGGTGCTGATGGCAACAGACAGAGGAACGCAGTCGACCGCGTGTAGAGCAAATTCAACGATGGAAGACTTCTTCGGGTGCAAAATGATGTAGGCTCCGCTCTTCCGTTTCTTCTTCTTCCTTGTTCTCTTCTTGTTTCCGTGGCAAGCTGCAGCAACGGAGGGCAAGAGGACAACGTTCATGTTTCTGGTGGATACCAGGATGAGGCCCTCCCCTTTCCCCTCCGACCGCCATTGGTACTTCTCTCTTCTTTCCTCTACCTCTTCTCGTCTCCTCCACCACTACCAGTCTCTCCTGCACGGCTTCTCCACCTCCCTCACTCCTTCCCAGGCGAGAGCTATCGGCGACCACCGGGGTGTCGTCGCCGTCAGTCCCGACTCCCTCCTCCGCCCCCACACCACTCGATCCCCCTCCTTCTTCTACCTCGACCTTCCCGGCTCCCATATCTCCGCCCTCTCCCACCGCGGCTCCGCCGCCGTCATCGGATTCATCGACACCGGCATATGGCCGGAGCGACTTCTCCGATCGCGTTCTCGACCCGCCTCCACGCCGCTGGCGCGCGGAGTGCGAGGAGGGCCCCGGTTTCAACCGCTCCCACTGCAACCGCAAGTATCCGCCCTATCCTTCTCCGCCGGCTACGCGGCCACGTTCGACGTCGGCTGGCAGGACGAATCTCAGCTCGACTTCTTAAGGTGCGACCCAAACCTCCCATTGTTTTATCTCATTTTTTTTATCTTCTGTAGTAGCCTCGTGATTTTAATTTTTATATGAATGAATCAACATTTCTTGAAGAAAAAAGTGCCTGACTACTCATTGGGTATGGCCTCTTCGGCTCAGATTGCTGTTCGTGAGCCGTCGATGGAAGCGTCGGGCCTACCTCGGTCCGATCATCATGCTAGCACCGACCGGCATGATGATCACGGAGGCCGGATCGACAGTCGTCGCCACCACCAGCGTCACCATCGCTGCAGCTGCGCGGCTGGTTCTGGATCTCCTTCGGAGGATGGGGAGGAGGGAAGCGGGCGTTCGCGTCAGGAAGCGATGGCGTCCGGCGCACGGACTTCGCATCTCTTTCTGATTTGATCAAGACGCGCGCGACGGACGACAATGAGAAGCGGGAGAGAATTGGACGGTTTTGGAGCGACCCACAGTAAAAGCTTTCCTCTTCCATGTTCAAATGCTACGCTGCGTGTGGGCTTGGCATTCCAACGAAGTACATGAATGCATTGCATGCATGAATTGGCATGAACTATAAATTTGATGGGGCAAAGCACATCATGTACACGAATGCATTGCATGCATGAACTATAAAATTGATTGGGCAAATTCCAGATTTAAGCCTTTCCTGGTAGTTCACCAATGAGCGTTAGTTGATTGTGTACTTCGATTCAGATGTCTATAACAGGATCTGAACTATCGTGATGTTTAGTGTTTAATCAAACAGGTTCGATGTGAGTGGGTCTTATATTTTTTGCAGATGAGCCTATAGAAATTACATACGGTTACTACTCATGTAGTCACGGGGTCACTGGGCTGGGTTAGCGCAGGCGTCGCAGCCGTCTCCTCCCACCTCGTCGGCCGTAGGATGGTTGACTTGAAGAGTAGGAGGGGAAGGGAGAGGAATAGGCGGTTTGTGATGACGAGTGCGGGCCTTCTTGGAGCCCCAGCTAGTCTGTCAGTGAGGAGGGATAAGATGCTAGGCGATTTGTGACAAAATGTGCGAGGCTTCTTGGTGCCCCAGCTAGGCATGCCGGCGAAGAGGGATAAGTTGCTGCGGGAATCGTCGGAGAGGTCACACAGAATGGCAGCCACCTTGAGTTCCTCGCCGGTCTGCGGCTCATTCAGCTGTGACATCTCCTGCAGTTGGCGGAGGCTGGCGGAGATGGGAAGTGCAAGACGGAGCAAGCCTGTGGTGGCCCTTTATTGAGTTTGGCTGCAGTTGCATCGTCAACCCAGAATGCCCTTTCCCTCCGGTCACCCGTCTTTCTACTTCCACTTTAGTTATCAACGAACATTAATACCCTTCTCGTCACCTGTCCTTTTTCTTATACTTGTTACGCACACGGCCACGTCGCGGGGTGGTTGGTTTGTCGACTTGCATAATAAGTCGAGCCGCACTTAGGTTTCTCGACTTCTATAGTTATAGTCGATGTCACGATCTTACGTAATAAACATATGATTTGATCTTAAAGATAGGTAACAAATTGGTCTCCTGTCCCATAGAAACTAATATTTATATCGACAGAGATGACCCGAGACTACGATGACTAATAATGATCGTCGATACCTCCCGTGACACGATCATGCGAACATCCGACCCATACATCCCTTACGATACTAGTCAGCACGTCTGGATTCTTGTAACGCAGCACCGATTCGTCTAACTTGTGCGATGCGAAGTCGGGTGGAAGGGCATCACTTGCCATGTCAGCTTCCACGATGGCTATTAATTAACTGATGACTCGTGATTGGTGGTGGAATATTCTCTATTATAATTAAGAGACTTAACGAACCAAGAAACAGTTAAAAAAACTCTTAATACTTATCATGCTTAATCTATGCAGTTGAAAAACTGTAAAACTTGGAGCTAACCAACAAACAGTTGAAAAACAGTTAAACAGTAATGGTATTGCAAATGGAGAACCGGTTATCGTTAGATAAACTATGCAGAATTTAATGCTTAAATGAAGAAGATTTTTTTCATTTACGAATCACAAACATCTGGAACATATTATTCAAGCAACATCGAGCAAACACTTACTGGACAGGATAAGAAAAACACTTTCAGATTGCTAGCTATCTCTCGGATCATATGTGATTGCAGTCTATTAATATCTGGGATACAAAGGCTTGACATATAACCATGGCTACATTTTGGTTATAGAAATCTACTAATTTCCCAAGCATACATCCTCGACAGCTCATATGTGATTCCAGTCTACCATCTTAATATGTCGGGCTTTGGTCAAACTAAAATAGTCCACCATTGTGGCAGATCTTTTATGGGCATACAGCAAGCCGGTAGGAGCGTTGTTGATCCATGTTTTCTTTTCAGCTGCAGCCCCAGCCACCACTCATCCCTTCCATGACTCGAACTTCAACTGGGTACATGGGCAAAACCAAGCACTTGGAAATTACAAGATTAGTGCCAAACCACTATTAATTAGCACCTTGGCCTCCTGGTGTGGACGAGAAACTCCCCGCCCCGTGCGTCATTTTAATTCACTACTGATATTTGCTTTAGCCATGATTAGTGCCTAACCGCTATTACTGATTTCTGGGAAGGAAAAAAAGATCCAGCGGCGAGAACAAGCGGGCAAAGAAGCCAGCAAGTACGGGGAAAAGCTTATTTGTGGGGAGGACGAAGATTCGACAATAATCCCAAGAGGTATAGAGCGCGAGAGGAGTTAAGACAGGTGGATTTATACATCGGAGGTGCCAGAGCTACATACCCTACATACCTGGTCACATTTCTTTCTAATATTACCTGTCTAGTTCTAATATTACTAGACAGGTGGACGTGCTCGCCGGTGGCCACCTCCCAGCGGCGGTCCAGGTCGTCCTCCTCGACGATGCTCCGGTGGTGTTTCAGCAGGCGCACCGCCCCGTTCGCGAAACGCTTTCGGCAAGAAGAGTCAAATCAAGAGACACCGTGCTTGCACGAATCGAAAAGAACAAGGTGAAGAAAGAAGAATTGGCGATCAATGGGAGGGGAACTGACGGCGACGGAAGGGCCGGGGTTCCATCCGGGCATGGCGAGGAAGGCAGAGACGGAACCGACGGAGGCCGGGTCGGCAGTGGTCGCCACCAGCGTCACCATCACTGCAGCTGCGCGGCTGGGTCTAGATCTCCTGCGGAGGATGGGGAGGAGGGAAGCGGGCGTTCCTAGCAGCAACCGATGGCGTCCGACGCACGGACTTGGCATCTCTTGCTGACTTGATCAAGACGCGCGCGACGGACGAGATTGAGAAGCGGGACAGAATGGACGGTTCTGGAGCGACCCGTAATAAAGCTTTCCTTTTCCATGTTCAAACGCTACGCTGCGTGTCGACTTGGCATTCCAGCAGGTACATGCATGCATCGAATGCATGAATTGGCCAAAACTATAAAATTGATTGGGTAAAGTACATCATGTACACGAATGCATTGCATACCTGAACTGTAAAATTGAATTGGGCAAATTCCAGATTTAAGCCTTTCCTGGTAGTTCAGCAATGAGGGTTAGTTGATTGTGTACTTCGATTCAGATGTCTATAACTGGATCTGAACTATCGTGATGTTTAGTGTTCAATCAAACAGGTTCGATGTGAGTGGGCCTTATATTTTTGCATATGAGCCTATAGAAATTACATACGGTTACTGCTCATGTAGTCACCGGGTCACGAGGCTGGGGCAGCGCAGGCGTCGCAGCCGTCTCCTCCCACCTCGTCGGCCATCGGATGGTTGACTTGAAAAGGAGGAGGACGGAGAGGAGTAGACGGTTTGTGACGACGAGTGCTGGCCTTCTTGGTGCCCCAGCTAGGCATGCCGGCGAGGAGGGATAAGTTTCTGCTGGAATCGTTGGAGAGGTCACACAGAATGGCAGCTACCTAGAGTTCCTCATCGGTCGGCGTCTCATTCCGCTGTGACATTTTCTGCAACAAATCAGTCATCAGTTATCCAACTTTTCTGTGGACTGTATTTTTTTTCTCATTAAAGTTCCTCGTAATCTTTTGGCCGCTAATCGGTCGAAGTTTGTGCTCCATAATTAAATAGTCCAAGGGTGGAGGAGATTGTGTCCTCTCCTTCATCGGAGGAGGTGTCTCCCGTGAATCTGAATGTTCTTCGAGACTTTAAGTCTATAAAAAGTTTACATGACTATGACTCAATAGTGAACACGCCACTTCTAGATCGCCTACGAACTAAGTATTTTATCCCGATTACGTTTGATCTAGATGTCCCTCAACCTGATCATTGTCCATTCGATCCTATGCTTGGACCTTTTTGTTTATCTTGTGATGCCCTTGAGGCGAGACTCTATCTTTCCCTCCACCCGGTAATAGTTTTTTGCCTCAAATGGTGGGGAATATCGTATTCTCAAATGATGCCTAACTCGTGACACTACTTACTTTTATTTATTTGAGAATGCCAACAATGAAGGAGTGCTTCTTCCTTATGAGTTCAGGTTGGAGTTGGGGGTTCAATCTTACCTAATTGACACATTGCATAGATAACATCCCTCGCTACCTATCGGACGAGGAGGTGGATCAAATATTTTGACTGAGGGATATACTTTCTTTCTTCAAGATCGTCTAAAATATGAGTGAGGATTGATTGATCAATACAGGTCTTAACCAGGCTCCTCGGGGTATAACCCAAACTTTCCATCGTTTCGACTCACTTTTTTTTTTAATCTTCTGCAGCTTGATGATTTTAATCTTTTACATGCATAAATCTGTATTTCTCGAAAAGAAAGGTGCCTAGCTCCTTGTCGGGCATGGTAGCACCGGTCCGATCATCATGCTACGAATGTCACCATGCTGTAGCTGCGTGGCCGGGTCTGGATCTCTTGCGGAGGATGGGGAGCAGGGAAGCAGGCGTTCGCGGCAAGAAGCGATGGCGTCCGACACACAGATTTCGCATCTGTTGCTGACTTGATAAAGACGCGTGCGACGGACGAGATTGAGAACCGAGAGAGAATGGACGGTTTTGGAGCGACCCACAATAAAGCTTTCCTCTTGCATGTTGGAACGCTACGCTGCGTGTGGACTGGGCATTCCATCAGGTTCATGAACGCATTGCACGCATGAATTGGCATGAACTATATATACATTTGATGGGGCAAAGCACATCATGTACACGAATGCATTGCATGCATGAACTATAAAATTGATTGGGCAAAATCCAGATTTAAGCCTTTCCTGGTAGTTCAGCGATGAGCGTTAGTTGATTGTTTACTTCGATTCAGATGTCTATAACCGGATCTGAACTATCCCCCAATTCTTATCAACGAAACTAAGTTGCTTATTGATGGCTAGTCACTCATGTATCAAATGGGTAATTAGTTGAGCACGAACCCGATTAGTGACTCAAGTTCGGTCTCTAACCGTCCAACGATCCTTCCGCTCCACTTCGAGCTGCCACTCGATCGCCCGCCTATATAAGCAGACCGCCACCAGTTCTTACTGTCTTTCTCTCTGCCGCTCTCTCTCAAACATGCCCTATCCAGATAAATAAAGGGCGGGAAACCCTCCTC